TGTATTCATTAATGACGCCATGGCACGACAAATAACACTTCTCTTACGCCAATACGTAAATTTCTTGACAAGAAAACTTCCGGCCAGGTTTTTGGCTGAATTCTGTCTAAATTAAGTCCACAGACATGCGTATTGATGGCGATCACCGACTAACACGTTTTGATCGTAACGCATTGGATCCGCAGTCTCAACCTCTTACTCCTTGTACGTTAGTGGCTGACAGCGGTTTGCAACATGGCCGCAGACTTCGCTGCTGTTGCGGTCCTCAGATAAAACTGTGGTCCACTAAGGGACAGGTTCAGCCAAATCAAAATTCATACTTACCAATCTGCATATAATTAACCACCATAACCGTATATCATTGCGGGAACTCAAATTGGTTTGTGTGGGCTCTCTGATTGGTCGAAATTTGTGTGTAGTATCTGCCTCCACACATAGGGGCAGTAGTTACCATGTTTCCCCTTCTATGCCAGTTTGCAATTGCCGCCTAGACAACGAGGTATTCACTGTTCCTTGTTGTATGGGAAACATAGCTACTGAGTCGTTGTCTAGCAATGGACGTCTCTGTATGCGCCGTCTCGGAAACATGTTTGAACACCCGCTCAGGTATTCTATCTTTTAGGCGACATGCCACATTGCTCCCTCCGTAAGGCTGTTCGTCCCGAACAGCCTAACGGTGTGTCACCATTCTTCCGTTTCCGAGGGTTCCTTGCTTGCACCGTCTTCCTGCAAGCTGTTCTGTTTTTTTGTGGTGTTCACCTTCCGAACGCTACATCCGCCCCCTCCTTCAAGGGTGTTCGTTCCAAGCAGCTACGTGGTAGACTTCCAGTCACTTCCGGTACTCATCATCATCCAGAGGTTTTCTCTTTATCTCCCTCACTCTCACTCTAGCTTGGGAAGCCGGTGCTACTACATTACCGGCTCCTGCACTATTTCCTTTTTCTTTTCCATTTCGGAGTGGGTCGACCCCTCCAGTGTCCAACTCCTGATGTTTTGAGATGGGACAGGAGATCCGGTAATTCGCTTCATGGTCACATGTCGAGCCGTCTTCCTGTAGGTCTTGATCCTTATTTCTCTGTGACATTGCTGTTGCGCCCTTCGTCTCCTCCCGACCGTCAATCCTTTCGAGGTTCCTAGTACGACGTCCCTCAGCGGGCGACGGCCAATCTCTTTATTTGCCCTGGGTTCGTTCCTTTAGCTTCTGGCTGCGCCCTCCAGCCAGATTTCGGTCCCTACGCCGCTTCCTCGGTCCTCTGACCGGCATCACTGCGACATCTTTCCTAGGGACCTGTCGTGCCTCCTCAGGTCCCATGTCTACTGAGGTTGGCTCCTCCCATTCTAGACGTGCCTCCGTCTTTCCTTGGCAGGCAGTCGTCTCTTTTGAGATATCCTCAAACTCAGACCGCATAGATTGCATTGCGGCTTTCATTTCTTCCTGCGCGGTTTTTCTGTCCGCCTCAGTTCTGGAGATTAGAAAACCTATCTGACTCTCCATCGTGTCTTTCATTTGTGCTTGCATTTCCTTTTTCATCTCTTGCTGGTCGGCGTCTGTCCTGGCCAGCATGACTTGTTAGGTTTTTCTGTCTGTCTCTGCCTTTTCTTGCATGGCTTTCAGCATTTCCAATATTTGTTCCATTTTCTTTTTCTTTTTTCTTTCTTTTTATATTGTGGCATTGTACTTCTGTAATTCAGTCTTCTGTCCAATAGTTACTTCAGTTCATCAACTCCGAGACTCCAGCCACTTCTGAAAACAAATTGTGACCTGTTTAAGTCTGTAACCACTTTCTGACACCAGTTTTGTCACGTGTTCGGGTGCCGTGACAAATAATTGTGGATTCCGGCTTAGACAAAGCTGTTTTATTGTATAAGTCGTTACAATTACAACTACAATCACTCTGACATGACACAAATGCAAATTAAATTCATGATGAAACAGAGAGAGAGAGAGAGAATAAATTTACAGAATGTTTGTTGTTGAGTGTGGAGAAATGTTTGAAATAAAAATATAATATGAATATAAAATGTAAACATAAATTACAGGAATATGAAACCTGAGTGTCTAGAAACATATTGTTAACATGTAGTAAGGGGACACTGTGTAACAGTGATCTTCGTATATGAGCGGTGTTGCATCTTAGGCTCTCGTAATGAGGCTTAAGGAGTGTTATGGTGCCCCGTTATAGATGAGTGGATGGATATTGAGTAGTCTAGGGGTAACGTTCCCACCTCATGACTCAAGGTAGGCGGGTTCAAACCCGGCGGAGGTCGTGGAATTTTTAAGGGCGGAAAAATTCAGGGAACAAGTCCTCCGGGAGGGACTTTAAGCCGTGGGTCCCGTGTCGTAGATTATGGCACGTAAAAGATCCTCATGTCTCTAGGAGACCTCTGAGCGAAATTAGGCAACAATTTCCCACCCAAGTAGTTTCCAACGGCTCTGGTAGATGGGGGGAAATATCAGGTACCGACGGCCGACCTCGTTGGCTGAACGGGGCTGATAGCACGCACCAATAACTGGTCTAAGTGCATGGAGAAACCCACCCCCTCTAATAATAATAATAATAATAATAGCTCTGAACTTAACCTTAGTCACATGAACTGTGTAAGTCGTATTTCAGTTAGGTGTGTTTTGTCTAAGAACATTGTGTTTTACACGAAGTTTATTGAGGTTTGGAGCACATTAAAAGTTAAGGGGAAAAGACAGTGTATTCTAAGGAGCATTAAACTAAGCATTATACACTATAAATCATGAAGCACACGCCTTTGCTCTTTCTCTGTCTCTCAGCATTTTTCCAAGAATTTCTCAGGGTTGCTTTCAGTCCTGGGAATTACCTCCCAGAATTCATCAGTCAAGTGTTGTATCACCGTGGAATATTCTGCAGACTGAGAAGCCTGTGGTGATGGCTGGATGATGACATATGTATACACACATGCATGTCCTGGGCAGGTGTCCACGATTGTGCAAGTGCAGGTAGCTACCTCGATGCTTTATTGGCTATGCACACTGTGGCCAGCCACGTCATTCTACTTACATAGCTAATTTTAAAAGTGACACAGATGGGTTTGACACACAGCCACTTGAACTACATTTAGCCTGTGTGCTGCATGAGGTGCATTTTGCACATGCCCTCCGATAGCACTTGTAGCAGTAATCATGTTGATAATTACAGCATCGACAGTAATAATAAAACGATATGAAATTAAACAGAGAAATCATGGCATGTTCTTATGATAGCATGGGCATTATTGTGATTATGATCATTATCATCATATAACCACACAAATAAATATATATGTGCATTTAATAGTAGTTGGTTGAGGGGCTGTGCTACTACCCGGAAGGTCGTGGGTTCAAGTCCTAATGAGGTCATTGAATTTTTTCAAGTAACCTAATCCTTCCAGCAGCACTATGGCCCTGGGGTCGACTCAACCTCTAACAGAAATGAGTACCAGGAATTAATTAAATGATTTTCTTGGGGAGTAAAGAACGACCGGCCCGTAAGGCTAACAACCTTACCGCCATCTTTGAGCCGACTGTCTAGATTGTCTAGATAATGTGGGACCCTCAACGTCTCACAACCCTATGAGCCTTCACGGCATGGTACAGGGATAGCTTTGCTTTTTTTTATTTAATAATAGAATTTTTATCAGTCATTTTTACATACATTATCATAACATTACTTTAAATACTGACAGTTTTTTAATGCCTTATTAACAGCACTGTCCATTACGTTAAATTGAACTTGAGTTTCTTTGTGGTACTGAGCACGTCTTTGAATTCTGTTATTCCATGTGAAACACAGTTAAGAATCTTTTAAAATACTGGATATTTTGTTACTTCATTGTACTTTGTGGTGGCACTGCAGAAACGTGTAGCAAAATTTGAGTTTGGTCCTTCTCTATGAATTGAAGTGAGAAATCACAGTAAATGTACTCTTTTAGTGCGTCTCAGAATTAGTTGTGATGCATACTGTTGAGGGTCTTTCTTCGTTATCTTAAGATACCTAGTATCTTAGAATGTAAAGCGTCAGATGTTAGGATGATTATTGAATGACGAATTGAAAAGGGTTTAGAAGGAAGCGGTTATTTGCCTACTTGATGTCTTAACTCGGCCCTTGCATGGAGGGACTGAGAGCCACGAAAAACCTCAGTCACTGTAGCCGACGTCCTGGCCGAAATTCGAACCGATCATCTCCCAAATACAATTCTAGAGCATTACCGCTAAGCCAACCTGCTCTGTAAGTCATTTATAAAACGAGTTCATTTTATTATATGGACACAGATTAATTGTGTTCTTAGTCATTTAATTTGTTTCGTAACTACATTTTGTCAGTAGTAACCATTTCTTCGCGTAATCCAAGATATTTCAGCAGGAAAAGAAGGTTGGCTGAAACGTCAGCTCAGTAACTCACCGATTTGTGTCTGTATATTCATTGTATGCATTATTAGCGGTTTGATTGTCTGGCCATGGGGCGCCATATTCCTAATGTTAAATCATTTTTCTTTCAACTGTATGCTTTATGAAACATTTAAATTACATATGTAGGATTTGAGGTTTTCACGGCGGTGACTATGAAGAAAGCAGTCTTCTGGTATTTGTCACCGTTTACATGTGGTGTTAACCGACGTTTCGGAGGAACCAGTCTGCTTTTACCGGTTCTCACGGTCTCTTCGCTTGCGGATTTCTTATATTTTTCCTTCTACACTGAAGATGGAGGCGATACGTTCCTCTGAAACGTCGGTTAACACCACATATACACGGTGCCAAATCCCAGAAGACTGCTTTCTTCATTTAAATTACAGTTACCTCTTGAGGAACTGAGAACTACACCGTGGTAAAATGTTATTAAATTTAAGGCCAGATTTTATGTAATATGATCTAACATTTGGCTTTTAATAGGTTGCAGTTAAGCAATAATCAGTAAAACAGGGCAATCCATGATTATCAATTGCGACAGCCATGATACAGTGCACTTCCTTACTTTGTACTAACATTGTTTCAGAATCACCACCACAACACTCACCACCAGCACCAGAATCAGCAGAACAACAAGGATCACAATGACTGCAATGAAACACATGAATTTGAACTGAAGGAGGTTACCAAGGAAGGCCATGAGAAGGCTGATCCAGGACAATTCGAGCTTCTTAAGGTGCTTGGGCAGGGCTCTTTTGGCAAGGCAAGTTCATGTTAGAACAATCCTTTATTTGTATTGTAGAATTTCTGAATTTGACTGTTGTTATTTGCACCATCTGTGTAAAATAAGCGGATATTAGGGATGTTTTGTCTATTTTTTGGGCTTTCATGGAACTCTCCACAGTTATGGAAATAAATTCATCCGTCCTACCAGCAAAACGTAATTGTACACCTTTGTCATCAAGGTGTGAAAAATTTAATTAGGATGTCAGAGATGTATATGTGATTTTAAAGATGCTAGTAATCCACACACATGATCTAAATAGATTGACAGTTGTACATAAGAAAGTAACTTAATGTAATAACTGATTTTTTTGGTCAGTATGTGTTGGGCAGTGTCCACACAACAGTCAGCAGTTGTCACAGACCTGTAAACAGTCAACTTAAAAGCACATGAATTAAAACAGAAAGTACATTTTATGTGGAACTGTGACAGTTGCATGTAGTTAAATTGTTGCAAGCTTTCTTACCTCTTTTTTTTTTATTATTATTTGAGATAGATTCATACAATCTGTCCAGTTAAGGACAATGAGCATTTTTGGCGACTCATGTGGTGACTATGTCATTAACAGTGTTAATAAGGCTATCCCAATAGATGCCTTAAGATTTGTCGCATGTATACACTTAAAACTAGCTAAATCTATCAGATAGGTCTGACGGTTTGAATCTTTTTAATCTCCTAACTTCATCTTCATGGGTTAGTAGTGAGGCTGCGAGTTCGTTTGGATGTACTTGTAGTCTCCGACTGTACTTAGCACTACACTTTTTAATTTCTTCTTGCACTGTAGATACGCTTAAGCTTTCGTACCTGAGAACATAACATTATGATATCAGATTTTTAAATTGCTCTTGACTTATGTAGAAACTTGCATTTCCCTACTTCACAGGTGTTCCTTGTAAGAAAGGTTGTAGGTAAGGACAGTGGAACTCTGTATGCCATGAAGGTTCTGAAGAAGGCAACACTCAAAGGTATTCATGATCAATATTCTTAAGTCAGAAAGTGCAGATACATTTATTAACAAAGAAATGGGTGTTTAGCTCAATTTATGAACATTTTAGAAGTCCAGTTTTGTTAATATAGACTGTCCACCTTCACGTGTGATGATATGAAATTGGGAACGTGAGAAATAAGAGAAGTTTTGAGAGTACAGGGTAGGTCAGGTATTATACGATACTACAGAAAATTAACAGTTATATTGGTGTGGTCACATCCCACAAATGACAGCTTACATTTTTTTTAATTCGCTTGGGGGGGAGTCCAAGTGGGTCCACTCGGCACGGCAGCCACTGATGGGCCTATTGTAGCCTGCCCCAGGTGATTATGATGATGGAGAATTTGGTGGAATGGAAATTTTCAAGGGAAACCGAAGTACTCGGAGAAAACCTGCACCTGCGCCACTGTCCATCACAAATCCCACTTGACCAGACCCAGGATCAAAGCCTGGCCGTCGCGGTGGGAAGCCAGCGACTAACCGCTTGAGCTATGGTGCGGCTAATGACAGCTTAAATGTGTCCAAAAATAATTATGAATTGGTTGCCTATGGAAAGGAAAACAGGAAGAAGTTAGCATGAAGGAGTAGAGGAAACAGTGAGGACTAAACATATCTGAGAGTTGGACAATGAACTGATAGAAGTGAGTGGTATTTGGGCATTGGATGATGACATCAGCAGTTGTGAGCTGGACACACACAGATTTGTAAGACTGGAAGATAGTACAATAGGAAAATAGACTTTATAAGTTCTAGTTAGAATTCCCTGTCTAATTTGTGGTAAGCATGCTGAAGTAACTAATAATCAGGTTGTGTGCTAGCAGTACTTATTGTGTTTGTTTACTTTTATAGTACGAGACCGCATGAGGACAAAGACAGAACGTAATATCCTGGTAGATGTTCAGCACCCATTCATTGTCAGGTTGCATTATGCCTTCCAAACAGAAGGCAAACTTTACCTCATATTGGACTTCCTCAGAGGGGGTGATCTGTTCTCCAGGTTATCCCAGGAGGTATGTATGTAATGTCTGCCATTAAATGGCATTACTTCTGGATGCAGATCATGACAGTTCTAGGAAAAGCACAGGCTTACTCTTTGTATCGCGTGCTTTAACATTAAAATCTTTGCGTTTTACTCATATACTGACTCACATGATTATCAGAGTAAACAATGATTGTGTAAAGATTTGAGGCTTTCACGGCAGTGACTATGAAGAAAGTAAACAATGATTGTTTACATAATCTTTATAATGTAGATGCAGTATGTTTCCTGTGAGATAGGAACTGAATCACTTAGCATGTTTTGGGTTCTGAACAGAACATTTTTAGTAATATAAATGGGAATCATGTACATGGACTCTGGTATTACATTCTAGTAGTATGTTTTTGGAAATGCTTGTGCATTTTGAACTGCATTATCTTAACCTGATTAGTTTTATATGGGTGTAAAACCTGGTCTGATACTGTAAAGGAAGAACATAGGATCAGAATGTTTCAGAGCCAAGTGCTGAGGAGTTTATTCAAGTCAAAGGAAGAGAATGTAACAGGAAGATGGTGAAATTGCATATTGAGGAGCTTAGTAATTTGTCTTTATGTGATGATTGTGAAAGCCAGGGGAATGAGCAGGCAACACGCTTAACATACATTGGAAAGATGAGAAATTTATGCAAAATTTTAATTGAGAAACATCAACTGGAAAAGTTCACTTTTGGAGGCCTAGGTGTAGATGAGAGAGCAATATTAAAATGTATCTTAGGGAGACTGGATATGTTGGTATCAAATATATTCAGTTAGTTAAGTGTAGGGTCATTCATGGTGGGCTTTTGTGAATATAGGCTTGAACTTTTAGGCTCCATAAGTGCAAGAAATTGTATGACAAGCTGAGAAACCATCAGCTTTGGAAGAGGGGCAGTTATTAAGCCACGTTGATTCTCTTATTAAATTAAGTGGGTTTAATAGCATATGTTATTTTCTATGTTCCATCAGGTAATGTTTACTGAAGAGGATGTAAAGTTCTACCTGGCAGAGCTTGCCCTGGCGTTGGATCACATTCACAGTTTAGGAATCATTTACAGAGACCTTAAACCTGAAAAGTGAGTTGTTATTATCAGATAAGTTCCTCTGCTCAGTTCTTTTTCTTTGTTCTATGATTAAAAGGGAACTGTAATAATTTAACTACAAAGCTATACAAGTATGTTAATCATGCTTAGATGTATATTTTTTGTTTTCTCTCTCTCTGCCCCCCCCCCCCCCCCCCTATGGAGGGGGG